ACTTTCGTTATCATGGAATTATAACAAAACCTGCCAATTCAATATAAATGGAAAAAAAATATTATATGGAATTGAACGAAAATGAAAATTTGCTTGATAATTCAACTACGCTTGTTGGAGAACAATAAAAACACTACACTCAACAAGCCACCAATAAAACTCAACTGCCTAACCTATAACCAAAGTCTCCTTTTAATTTGTTTTTAAAAAAAAGCGCTTGTCCCGTATGCCGAAGTTGCCCCAATCTCCCCTAATAAAGAGAATTTTTTCCAGTATAACGAGAGCGATCGGAAAAGTTATAAACATTGGAAATTCCCGTAGACACCTGGTCTTAAAAACAACCTGTCGGGTCCTTTGATGTATACTGGTGATGCAACGAGAGAGACATTCGACATCGACCACTATCCCTTTGAATTTAACCGCCTGCCTTTATGCACACCTACTCTACTTTTAATACCCATACTCGTATTCGGTTTCTTCCGGGAGGAGCGGAGTAAAGATCCGTCCCCCCGATTTTTGTTTTTGTTTTTTATTTCTTCTACGGGTCGGAGGACGATTCGGGTAATCGAACCCCGCAAAGGGGCCGACTGACGCCTCCTCCTCTTTGGTTGTCCGGCGCCCGGGGGTCCGGCGGCGCCACCGTCGCCGGTTATAAGAGAACGCCCGTCCGCAGGTGTCGTCAATCATGTTCTACACGCTACTAGTGACTTGTTCTATACTGTGTTTCGGACCCAGCTGTCAGGCCTCCGATCTGCCGGTCTGGGCCTCGGCTGCCCTGTCCCTGTTGCGACCCGATGGGGAAGTCAATCTCTACCTGGCTCCGGCCGACACGCGGGGAACCCTTCCTGTGGTGTTTCCCGACGGGTGGACGATCCGGACTCCGGGCCACGTTTTGCTGCTTGATCCCTCTCCAGGAGTTCCTTTCGGTCATCCCGTCTTCCTCTTCTTCGGCCTGTCTTCCTCCGACGTCGCTTCCTGCCGGAAAGGTGCGGGACGTTACTTAGGTGAGTGCCTCTTAACCTTTTTTCGCTCTCTTTCACTCTTCCGGGAACCGTTTATTTCTTATGGAACCGTTGAATAATAGTGTGAGGTCAGAATGTCCGATCACTTCGAATCGTGAGCGGGTGCATTTGGCACAGAGACAAACTCAGTTACAAATAAGCTTACAGCTACAACAAGGTAGTGATTGAAGGGTTGAGAAGGGTTGTCACACTGTTCTGCAGCCCTTGACAAAATAATCTTACTCCATGTTGCTCCATTCGCGCTAATATAGTGTAAGGAAAAGAGAATTACTTCCGATAAATAAATACAGTTTCTCATACGTCTTTTTTGTTTCCGCAGGAGACGGTCGCTGTCTGATACCCGTCTGCCGCAACGGGACACCAGAAGACTTTCCCCGTCCTTCCTGCCACTTCGACTTCCTACCTCTAGTGACCGCCGGACCGGATTCCCCCCGCCAGGATCGACAGAGACTCGTCTGCCAAGACGATCTTCCGGGTGAGTTTCCTTCCTCTTTCCTCTTCCTCCTCTCTCGTCGCCCTCGTCTCATCTCATCTTTCTTCTCCCAGGTTTCTCTCCCTGTCCGCGCCTCAGACCGTTGGAACAGAGGCGGAGTCTCTTCTGCGACCATCTGAGATCCAATCGACGTCGTTGCCCCCCTCTGGCTGCCTGGCGCTCGGGTTGCGGGCCTGCCGACAGGAGGGGTCGGGCCCTGCTTCTGTCGGGGGGTTGGAACGGACAGACAACCGACGCCGATCATCCCGATCGACTGAAAAACTTCTACCTGAAGCTGCGAGAGAACGGATATCGTCCCGATGACGTCCGCATCTTCTTCGCTAACGGAGCAAACGACGCTTCGGGTGAGAGACTCTTTTCTCTTTCTTCCGCTTCCGGTGGGCGAACGTCGACTAAATTCTTTTGATTTCAGGCGAGATGGCTCCCGTCTATCCCTCCAGCCTCAAGTCCGATTTCCGCTTCCTGTTGAAGAGGACTTGCAAGAGCGTATGTCTGGACACGCTGCTTGTTTACCTTAACAGCCCGGCAACCCGCAACGGATCCAGTCTTCTATGGGATGCAGACGGCGACGGAAAGGTGAGTTCTTTCTCTTTTCCACGGACAATCTTTTCTCTCCCGCATCTTTTTACCGACCATTATTATTTCAGGTGGACCCGGACGAGGAATACTCGGCGGCGGAGTTGTCGTCGGATTTGGAAAACTGTCGCGCGGGTCGGGTGCTTCTGTTGCTGGATCAGAGCTTCTCCGACAGACTGGTCGACGCTATCTCCCCTCCTTCTCGATATCGCAACATCTTCGTCTTCTCCGGAGAAAAAGTCCACGAGTTTCGACAAGGAAACCAACTTGATTCGACTTCCACGTCTTCTCTTCCTCCCTTCTCTGCCCTTTCTCCCGCGCACGAGGTGAGTACCCTTCTCCTCTTTCGGACCGGCTTTGAGTCCAAGAATGACATTTTCTTTGGTTTTCAGAGGACGACTCTTCCAACCTCCTTAAGAAGAACGATGGCGGCCGTCACCGGAATACGAGTACGTCCCAGTCTTTCCTCCGAGGAAACGGAGAGGAAACTTTCGTCCTAGAACGAGAGGCGAAGACTCCGATTTCCTATTTATTTTTTTCCACCAAATCCTATTGTTTATACTAAATAAAAGAACTGAACGTGTGCCACGGTGCTCCTTCCTCCCGAAAATACGAACAAACGAATCGTCCGAAAGAGAATCCGCAGAATCCCTACGGGGAGAAAGGGAAAATCCTGAGAAATTTCTGCCGAAAAGGGGAGTAAATGAAGGAAAAGGGTTGAAGGGAACGGCGGATCCGCCGTATTTATTTATTTAACGGAAGGAATATTGTACGGAGAGTCGACGCCGAAGAAACCGTCGATCTTCTCCCCCGTAATTTGGACTTTTTAATAAACAATGGTTAAAGATTTACCGTGTTTTTTCTTTGTCTTCTTTCGCGCAAAGCCATCTCTACCCCTTTTCCTCATCCGGTATGTATAGAATTTATGGACGGCCCCTTAAGTTCTAGCTCACTTGTTACTTGTTAAACTCTTCTATTTTTAACTATTAAACCATTTATGCCACCTTTTTTATACAGTAGAACCTCGAAAACTCGGCTCTCGATAACCCGGCACTCCGGATAACTCGGCCACACCCTGGCAGGGCAAAAAAATCCTTAGTTAATTAATTTTCATTATAGACAGCTTTATAAAAGTATAAAAGCTCTCATAAAGTATTTTTCTGAGGTCTGTCTTATCAGGTAAATTACTGTACACAGTGTATTCATTAATTTTCATTTTCATGTAGTAAAGGCTCTATGCCTTCATAAAGGACGTACCTTTCCTTTTTTTAAGGGTATTTGGGCAGTTTATTCTCTGTTGTATTCTCAAGCAAACAATACATACAAGTACAGTACAATATTTTCTGAGGAAACACGCATACTTATCCTTTTTTAACCCCATTCCCGATAACCCGGCATTTTCACAAACTCGGCCACCCTTCGGTCCACATTAGGCCGAGTTTTCGAGGTTCTACTGTACTCTAAATTTGTTTGGAAACGTACGTAATATCTACATTAAGGGGAGAGTCGCTCTAAATTCCGCTTTGAAAGTCAAAACATTGAAGTCAATACCACGTGTGGGGCAGTAAACTGGTAAATGTAGTATACTTAACCCTCGATATAACAATATTTTTATAATCTAAGTACGAACCAGGTCGTGAAGGGCTTTACTCTCAGCCGTATGATTGTTTATTTATAGTTTTTTTTAACTTTTTATGCCCTGTGCACACTAAGAGGGCCTCTTTTAGCGTGGGTTTAGCCAGGCCCGACGTATCCGATCGACCGAACAGTTAGGGTGCGACTATGCAGACGAGAATTTAGTAGCGAGCGATATAGTTCTCGCAAAGGAAAACTATGCACAAGCGAGAAATATCGCTGGCGAGAGCGAATTTCTGGTTCTCTCGCACGTATCTGACAGGGTTTGATATTTATCGCGTCTCGCCTCTTCTCGCTAGATATTCTCGCTCGCTCGCGTCTGCATAGTCGCAACCTAAGAAGGTGAACAGAAATAACTGTTTCAGGTCTCAAGAACATAATTCTCATCCTTAGTACAGTAGTTAGAACTTGGATTGACGTATGTTTTCGCCGCTTGGAATGAAGTTGTGCAACAACACATTCCTCAAGCAGAGTATTATTAAAAAGGAAATATTATAGGTAACACATCACCTCTGTAGCGCGGGACGATTCGAATGCACGTCTGAGATATCACAAGATACCATTGGCACAGCACTTCCAGGCACTAAATACACAGATATGATAACAATCAACGCACGGGGTACGGCACACGAAGAAGTACGTCATCCCACGTAGAGAAAATGTGTAGAAGTTTTCCTTTTACAAGCACTTCTATTAGAACAACATCATTGAAAGATGGTTTACACATAATCAGACAATGATGATCACAACCCTTGTTGTATATCACATACAGTAGTATTGCTTTCGGGATGCAAACTCTGTAGATATTATTCGATAAGGGTGCGACTATGAAGACACGAGCGAGCGAATTTTCCGAGAGAGCGAGAAGAGGCGAGACGCGATAAATATCAAAACCTGTCAGATATGTGCGAGAACAAGAAATTCGCTCTCGCAAGCGTTATTTCTCGCTTCTCGTTTGTGCATGGTTTTCCTTTGCGAAAACTAAATCGCTCGCTCTAAACTCGCGTCTGCATAGTCGCACCCTAAGGCACAATACTTATCTATAGCACGTAGCCTTATTCTTGAGTACAATTAGATAATTGACGCATAGGAAATATCACAAGCGAGAAGCGAGAAATATCGCTGGCGAGAGCGAATTGCTGGTTCTCGCACATATCTGACAAGGTTTGATATTTATCGCGTCTCGCCTCTTCTCGCTCGCTCGCGTATGCATAGTCGCACCCTAATCCTCTCCGTCCCTCTGGCGGCTAAAAGAGAAAACACGAGAGTCTTTCCACCTGAGAACGGTAGCTCGCCACCGACGGGCAAATGGCGCCATCTGTCGGCTGACGTTCGAAGAACGGGAATGAAATATTTACCGGGACCTCCGGGCCCGCCAATCGGAACCCGGAGGCCCTCCACCAAAATCCGGAAATTTTTCCGTTCCGTGGCTACTTCGGGGCCCTCCCGGGTCCCTCCGCGGGGGGAAAAGCTTGAGGATGAGAGGAGGGCCACCATTGGTCGGAACGTCGAGGTCGGAATGCGACGGCGTCCAATGGGCGTCGTATCGGCCGGAACTCGACGTTTACGGCCCGATTTCGAGCGGGCGAATTCCTGCGATAAAGAAGCGCGTGCGGAGGGAATCGCGATTGGCCGCAGTCGTTACTCGGTTAGAGTTTTTCGCCTCGGACCAGAATCGTTCGTCGTCGTCCGACATGAAGAGGCGCCGCAGACGGCGCGCCTGACCTCGCGGTTTTCGGTGTTGGAGGAACCCGGATCTCCTTCTGCCGGGACCCTCGTCATGAAGGTGACAGTGAATTTCGGCAGCGTGCGAGTCATCGTGCCGTGCGGAAGAGGAGACATCTTGGTCAGAGAGTTGACCGAGTTGGCCGTCACCAGGTACAAGAAGGCCACCGGAAAGGTGAGTGTTGGGGGGATCCGTCCCTCCCACGGCGGGCCCTTCGGTTTCCTTCTTCTCCCCCGGTTGCCACCCGAAACCCGTTGAGTTCCGTTCCACCTTCTTCTTCCTCGGGGGTCCGTTTTCCGGGTTTCTCGGGTGGACTATTTTTCGGCGGAAGATTTTCCGGTGGAACCCGTCGAACGAGCGCCGCGCGGTCCGACGCCGTCGATCGCGTCATTTCGACAGACGTCGGGCCCGGGCCCGAGGAGAGAACAAGCGGTTGGGAGGAATTAGGGCCCCGACGGATAGGATTTGGGAGAGATGCGCCCGACGGATATAGGATCCGGGCGGCGGGAAAGGGATTCGGTCGGACGAAGCGAAACACCTGGAAGCGCGAACGATTCCCTCAGACGGGACGGCGCCGCGGCGGAAGAGAGACGGCCCCCCCGGCGATAACGGTCGAAGGCGCGGCGGGCCCTCTTTTTTTTTTTATTTATTTCCGCGGGCCCGAGAAGCGGAGAGAATAAGGCCCGATGGCAGCAGGCGCGGCGGTGAGTTAAAGCGTGACGAAAGGACGAGCATTGAAAAATACGTTAAGGGACGAACGAACTCCGTTTGTTTTGGTTTCCGGGAAACCGGGGGGGGCGACGTTCGTCGTTTTCCATCGAACGACGAATGTAAATCCGGGGGACGGGAAACAAACGGCGCGTTTATAGACGTAAGGAAGAAAGACGCAGTAGTGTCTGAATAACGGTCGGATCGCCAACGTTCCGTTAACCTCTACCAGGTGGCGCGTGTCGGGCCTCGTGCCGACGGAAGGGGCCCGAAACCCCATCCGTAATCAGGGCAGATGATTACGGACGGGATCATCCCGAAGAAATCGATATCCCCATGGTTTATTACAGTCGAGGCCTCATTTATACATAGAACATCAGATCCTTATTAAAGTTTCTGTAAGTTAACGTGGTAAGATTAGCCGTAACCGAAGGGGCATTAATTAAGATGGCAATTTCTTTGCTGGTGTTAAGCGGGCGGGAACCCGTTTTAACGGGAAGGCCACATCCCGTTGGGTAGAGTAGCGGTAAGGCCGAGGGGAGGTGCCACAAACAAAAGCAAGTATCCGCTGCCACCGCCGTTGGAATAAAACTGACGGACAAAAATGCACAAATGTAGTGTTGTGGTATAAATAATAAAGGGGCGAAATCGCCGTTGTTGGAATGGTGGGTTACCCGTGCCTAGAAGAACGTCCTTACCGAAAAAGAGTAGGCCTACCGCTAGAAATAGCCGAAGGTGGCGGGTACCCCCCACCCCGACTCTTCGATCTTTATTATATTCCCTGCAAACACACAGGGAAGAAGAAAGGTAAATGATCAAATCATTTACCTTTCTTCTTCCTTGTGATATGGATTTAATCGGTTTCTAGTTGAAGGCATTGACATACAGCTTGCAAACACACAACAAATAGCGATAAAACTGGTAAAAACAGAACTCATTTTCAATATAGTTACATTAATAATGGTCCGTATAACACGTGGTGAGAGTCTACACAACCGTTACTAGAGGGCGCTGATACGACGGAGGGGCGAATTTAACAATAGAGTTTCACCGCTTACCGTAAACACCATCGCTTTATAGTAAATATGTCGGGCGACGGAACGTACTGCAAAATAGTACGGGTGTTCCCAACCCCCTTTTCGGCGGCCCGGAAAAAGCAAGAAGAGAAACAAATATATTGTGGCGATTACGGAAACGTGCTTAATTGAATACAGTAGGAGATAAAAGATTAGATAAAAACAATGACGGTGTTAGCGATAAGTCTGGCCAACTTTGCGGGGTGATACGACTTGAAAAATAACTGTAATTAGGATAAATAATACAGTCTCAAAACGCTTGGTTTTCGTGATAAGGGGGTTGGATTATCACGAAAATGTAACTCGGAAAGAATACCAGGAAACTTTTTGTATGTTTGCTACGGAAGCTTACGTTTTTAAAGGTGTGGAGAGCGGAGATGCGGGCCTCCAATTTCTTTACAAAACGTGTGCCACGCCATCGAAAATCTAAATAATTTCCACGTGTTTAGCAAAGAAAGTTATCGTTGTCGTTTTATCGTGGCACGCGTTGTGTTGTTTTTCGGTACGTGGCACACGTTTTGTGAATATGCCACATTCGTATCTTCTTCGCCCGCCACGAAAAAAAATCTCATTTGTAAAAATTTGGTCTTCCCGTAGCAAAAACCGTACGGAAACTTTCGATTAAATAGCGAGGTTACGGCCGAAGTTTTCATCTTTAAAACGTGAACGTCGAACGTCGAGCGCTCTATCTTGTAAGCGGCGCTCGGCGTTCGACGTTCACGTTTTANAGAGAGCAACCTGGGAGAGTTCGACTGTCATCTTTACAGCGAGTTCAAAGCGCATTAGACCAAAATTTACGGGACCGTCACTAAATATTCCTGAAAACGCATTTCAAAAATTAAGCAGTATTTTAATACAGTTTAATCCAGTAGCTACTCAACACAATATATTATTCAGATATAACATGTTAAGTGGAGCTTATTCTATACTTGGTCAAGCATACAAATATCTGCTATCCATGTCTGTAACACAAGTATCCGGTGTATAAAGCTTTTCTATGTTAAAATTAATTAAAAGCGGGCTAAGATACTTATAAATATCTCGCAAGAAAAATCTAGAAGCCTTCGTGTTAATATAAATAGAAAAAATACATTTTTTTTAATTATTTGTGGGCTGGGCTGGGAATAAATTTTCCACACAAAAATTTTATGGCCAGTCCGCCCCTGGTCCTAAATAGTTCTAATTGAAATTTGACGGCCAACGACTTCTTTTAATCTCCATACCTCCGATAAAGGACACACACATCTCCTATATTTCTTGACTCAAAAATGATTTAAAAACAATTATTTTGTCGTTTTTCTACTATTATAATTATTTTTTCTACCTCCTATCTTCTAATCTTTATCAAAAAACCACTTTTATTGTTTATCTCCAGGTGTTCTAATTAAGGTGTTCTAGAGGTGTTCTAATTAAGTCTTCCAGGAAGAAATATAACGAGAACGTTTCGGAAGTTTCCCCGGGAATGAGGCCTCGAGTGGCCCGGGCCTCTTTTCTCTTGCCGCCCCTTAATTATCCCTCTACCTGGATCGATTGTCTCTTACCCTTTCCCGGAAGTAATCGTTCTTCCGCCCCTCCAGGTAAATCTGGTAATCTAGGGGCAAAATTCTAAATGCAAATATGAAGAATTACTCTTTGTTTATCTGGTAGATTTTCCCCCCCAATAAAGTATAAATGTCAGTAGAGTCGACCCCCCCTATAACACTGTTGATAATTCCATTTTATATGAATTCCATGTTGTACGAGTCACTTAGATTTTACAAATACGTGAGCCGTTCGCAGCCAGGCACACGTATTTGTAAAATCTAAGTGACTCGTACAACATGGAATTCATATAAAACGGAATTATCAACAGTGTTATAGGGGG